CATAAGTACTGCTACTTCAGAATAACATCAGGGTAGTAACACTCATCGCGTTAAGACCTTGTCATTAAATTCAGGGAGGTGCTCCTGATATCCAAAGTAGCGTCTATGATTGAACTGACTTAATCGGTGTAGGTTGTCATTGTATGATTACGTACATGTTAGTGGTCAGTATTGTTTGATGTATACTAAGTGCTAACTGCTTCTGTCATTTTGAGACTAACAAAAGTTAATTCTTTCATTTTTCTGTTACAAAAAAAATTCTTGCTGGACTTGAACGTGGCCTGCCTCTTTCTCTGTTTTTAATCTGTCTCCTCGTAATGCGAAAGGTGAACCTGGTAGGTGAATCCAAGGATAAGAGGATCCAGGAACAGAGAGCTCCAAACACAGTGGTGTGAGGTGTTTTACTCAGACGCACAAGTAATTTTTGAGATCGTTTGGACTCTGGGCATTCAGTGTCTCTTAAGATCATGATTCCCGTTCTATGAGCATGAACTGGATTTAAACCCAATTAATTGACCTTCCTTTGAAGAACAAAGTACATCCTAAGAGTTTTAAAAGCTAATTTTGAATGTTTAGATTAGAACAACTGAGAAAGTGTGTTTTGATTTGCTGACTTTCTCATGAAAATGAAATTGATAAATCTAGAAACAAGATTATATTGAAATCCAGTATTTGCCTTTAATAAATGCATTTATCTAATATTGTTCTCCTGGATGCAAAGATAAATTTGAAAGAGCTCTCATACTTCCAGCATCAGCACTATACTTTACGGATTTTCTGAAAAATTGAATTAATGATGGATAAAATGATTGGTGCAGGTTTTACAACTGCATTTCCCTGGACTACAGTTATAAAATTAGTCACTGGAATATCTGTCTCAGACTTAAAAATTTTTTAACAACTATTCCTGCATTTACTGCTGTTGTGGAAGAGTCCCAAACATATACCACTCTTCAAGAAGTCATTTAATTTGCAAAATGTAGATTTATTCACACAGCATATTCATTTTAAGTGTGTTTCAGCAATTCAAACTAAAATCCTGTACTAACCAATTTGAATTCTGCGAATCATTTCCAGTTTGCGCAATTAGAATGTCCGCAGTCAGTTGAACAGTTGGATATGTGGCTGTCATTATCTGTGACACATTTTAAGAATATGTATAAATTTCGTCATCTGTCAGGCTTTGGAGAGGTAATGATAAAGGCAAAAACAGTTAAAAACATCATTGGGATTTCTTTCTATATTTATCCCCTTAGGATTAGTGCTTGCACTCCTTTGAGATAAAGAATGTCTGTTGAATATCTTTACAACTCTTAAATAACTTCATTTTGCTGTTTTATTTAGATGATGACAGATTGTAGGTGATTTCTTAAAGGATCAGTTATTGGTAGCATTTCTTTTTAAGATAAAAATAATTATCAGTTCTGTTTTGCATGGTGCAAATAGATTTAAAATATTAACCAATTTTAAAAGCTACTTTGATTCCTGCATCTTAAAAATTATTTGGAAGAAAATCATGCATTGCATTTGAACCAGAGACTGAAGTTTTAATGTATATCAAAGTCTAAATATTCTGAATAGCTGTAGGTTTTGATTACCCTGTGCCAAGTTATAATCTCGTTTGCAGGATTTCTGGTGTCCCATACAGGTACCATTCATTAATGTTGCAAGATAATGGAGAGAGATCAAAAACAGAAGTTGCTGGAAGAGCTCAGCAGGTCTGGCAGCATCTGTGAAGAAAAAAATCAGGGTTAGTGTTTCGGGTCCGGTGACCCATCTTAGACCTCAGTGTTCTGAGGAAGGGTCACCGGACCCAAAAAATTAACCCTGATTTTTTTTCTTCACAGATGCTGCCAGACCTACTGAGCTTTTCCAGCAACTTCTGTTTATGTTCCTGATTTACAGCATCTGCAGTTCTTTTGGTTTTTATTTAGCCGAGAGATGACTGGTGGTGCTTTAACCTGGGGGTCACCATGTGTCAGGTAAGAGAAGAGGTTGAGAAAGAGAATCCTTCACGGTAAGCTCAGCCAGTGTGAAAATTGTTGGCGTTACTCAGCATTGCAAGCCAGTCATCCAGCCAGCTGAGCAAAACCACCTCTCTTTTTTTTTAGGCTGCAAATAAACACTTTTGTATGTTTGTGTTTCAGATTGGTGAATTATTTGAGGGTGGGAATCTGTAAGAAGGAGGAGACGCCAATTATCCACAAAGTCCACTGGACATAAAGCCATACTAAAAATCTAATAATTTGTTGTTTTCACTGTTCAGTGACTGAATGTTGAATTGCATATTTGACGTGGCTCACCAGGTTTTTAGATTGAGCTAAAATCTTATAAAAGCATCACAGTAATTTGCAATTCTGTGAACAAGTGAAATTTAGTATAGCACTGATTAGACAAGCACCAAATTTAAAATGTGTATCTGGTAAAACTTGGATATGGTAAATCATTGTGAATTTTTTCACCTGTTTGGTTATGACATAACCAGTTTGTGCCTCATGAGCAAATGAATACCCCTAATGTTTTATCAAATTGGCCTGAAATTTGAACGAGACTGATATTTCAAAGATCATTTGAACCCTATCATTGTAGAGAGCTTTTTGAAAGAATAGCCTGATATTGCATTTGGAGCATACATGATGTATAGATCTGTAGAAAGGAGTAGCAGTTTAAACAAAATTGTTGAGAAACCTACTTGCAATGTTTAAAGACTTCAATAATTTGATGCCCTACCTAATAGATTTAATACTTGTTAGTTTTGGATTGGAGCCTCAGGGGCTTATATGATGGGATGCAGCCGGTTCGGACATGTCTGTTTTAGACCAAATAACTGTCAGAATGCTTTAATAAGAGCCAAAGAAATTCAGTGTTATGCAAGTACAAGGCCAGAAGGATGCAGTTGGCATACTGGATATAGTGCACAGCTGTTAACATATCACATACGTGCACATAATGTATGACATGTTTGCATCACTGTGTTTTGATCCAAGGTTCAGCATGCAGGCTTTCATTACTGTTAATGTGAGTTACAATGATTTGAATCACATTATTAGGTCAGTCTTTCCCAACATCGTTAGTGTTCCCACTCATTATTTGTTCAATTGGATGTTTTGATCAGGCAATATTATGCAAGTATAGTACATTTAAATAAGAATTAATTCAGCAACAGTATGTCTTAGAAAGTGTCATGAAATTATTTTGTGTTAATTAAATGAAATGCAGGAAAGCAAACACCTTCAAGGAAATTTAAGTTTGAATACCTCCTTCGTAATTCGGGTTACTAAGAGGTAATCGGAAAAGTGTTAACAGTGAAGGTGTTACATTTCCATCTACGATGAAGTCAAGATTTCAATCAAATGTAAAATTGGACATGAGATTTTCATAAATATACATTGATTACTTAAAAAACCGTTTGGAAATTGGGAGTTTAGTTTAGTTGATGGCATGTTTGTAACTGTTTGCTCCAGCATTATTATTAAGTAGATAACAAGAACTGCAGATGCTGGAGTTAGAGTCATTACAGTGTGGAGCTGGAGGAACACAGCAGGTCAGGCAGCATCAGGCGAGCAGGAAAGTTGACATTTCGGGTTTACACCCTTCATCAGGAATCTGTGAATCCTTTGCTGAGGACTGACTGTTCGTCTTCAGTGAGGGGGAGATCTGGAGGGATGGTGAATACCTGGCAGGGCTTGAGGCTGAGGCTAGGTATCGAGCTGGGAGTGGAAGTAGGTGTATGTATGGGAACGGTCATGTTGGCGAAAGTGGAAGTAGTGATGTAGTCAGTGGCATTAGCAGAAGTGACGTTTTCGGAGGTGTTGGCGGAAGCGGTATTGGCGGCATCAGTGGGAGCAGCCGAGGTGGCCGCATGGTTAATGGTGAATGGCCAGGTGAATTAAGGATAAGGTTGTGGATAGGGTAGTGGAGGAGGTCTGTGTTTGGAGGTGGGCATGAGCAAGTTTGGTGTACTCACAATCCTTAATGTCCTATAGGGCAGAGAAAAAGCATTGGTTGAGTGTGTGGATCCTGCCTAGAATGAAAAACAGTAGAGGTCTTTTAATGTCTGCGAATGAGAGGCCCTAAGCTGGGGTAAGGTTGACTCTAGTACCAAATGGTTGCGAGTGTGGAGCTGAGGATCTGCAGAGAAAACAGTTTCTGGATGTACTGTAGGTAATGGCTGTCGCAGTTTGGTCCTGATGAACGGTGTAAATCTGAAACGTCGAATTTCCTGCTCCTGTGCTGCCTGCCCATTATTATTAAGTATCCAGGTTCTCTGTCAATGTGGGCTGCAGTGATTTGAAGCATGTAATTAGATGAGTCTTTATTGATACCAACAGTGTTCCTGCAAATGGCTTGCTCAGATGGATATCTTGATCATGAAATATTTGTACAAATATAAATATAATTAAAAACTCCGTTCAGCAGTATAAAAGATCATAATATTATTTAGATAATTAAATCAATGTATTCAGTGAAAACCATATTTTGAAGTACTTCGTTGGAGTAGTGTAACATATGGATAAAATAATAGTGATTACAGAACTGGCTGTGATGGGAGTAATTTCATGTATTGAATTAAAATGACAGCTGAAGAAGTGCACAACGTCAGAATGTATTGGCCTAAATCAAGTTTTTATACTGTTCTAGTATTGATATTCTGCATATGCCAAGGAACAACATTGTGTCATCCTTTTCCAGAGAAACGCCTACCAATTGCATGTTGTTATCCAACCTACCCCCACGCTTTTTTTTCAAATCAGACAATAACTGGTATTTAACTTTTAACTAGCTAATTAAATGAAAGAAAAGAGTTGGCACAAGGTAGTTAACTGTAATTAAAACTATTCAAATAGAAGGCAACTGCCATCACAGACTGGTCAGGTTCCGTCACCCCTTTCTATGTTGTAACTTGTATGTTTTTCTGATGTGGATTTGATTTTGCAGAATTGTGCTACTGATTACTGTACTGTATTTTTGCTCCGCAACATTAAACTACTGTTTTTCAGGCCCTCCAAGTGCTCCAGTAGATGAGCGGTCAGGAACACCTGACAGTATTGCCTCTTCCTCATCTGCAGCTCATCAACCTGGCGCTCCACAGCATCAACAGTCTTACGCAGCAGTTCAACCTCAGGCTGGCCAAATGGAAGGTAAAGAATCCAATCGCTTGTTAACAAACCTCAATTAATACCAAAGTATTCCACAAACCTTTGTGGCTTTAAAATTACAAAATAAATCAATTTCCGTGTAGAATTTGATTTCAGTCATGCTTGCACTTATGAACTGTTGCTGTCAAAACCAGATTGCATTTCAGAGGAAATAAAGACATCAACTGGTCGTAGAAAAATCAGGTAACTGAGCCTTAGTGGTTGAGATGTTTAAGATGACCCTCAATTCAAGAAAGAAGAACAAAATGATCTTCAAAGAAGTGTTTAAACGATCAGGTTGACTGAATGTTATGCTTATATTGATAGAGTTGGGAAAGCTGAGGATATACAGGAAGCTTGAGTCTGAAAGTTGAATAGTGAGGGAGCATGTTGGACTGGAGGAGGCACACTGAGGTTTTGCAGCATGTGGTTCAATCTTTGTGGGCAGAGAGGATGACGACCCAGGATTGAATTGGGCAAAGCTACAGAGTTACAGATTGGAGCTAACAGAGGTCGATTTGATCTTAATGTTTATAGGAGGAGTTTCTGGCTCCACGTGACTTAATGTCAGGCAAACAATTGAGCAATATAAAAGTTGCCACAGGATGTGGATTGAGGGCTGTGGAGATGGAAGATATGCAGAGCTGCCTGTCATCGTAATAAATTTTGAAAATTACTTAATACATATGTGTGATGTCAGAGTGGAGCATCCAATTAAGATTACAGTGTGTAATCAAGAATGAAATCTTGGTGTATCCAGAGATGAGTGTTTGAGAGCAAAAATAAATTGCTGGCAATCCTAAATTGAATAACATTTTCTGGGTAATCCTGTGCACACAAAGAATTATGCTGATCACCAATTTTGGATTGTCACTTTGGCTCGCATTGAGGTATATTTGTGTGCACAGTAAGCTACATATTAATACACATCCTTTTCTTTGCAGACAGAAATAGCACACATTCACTGCTCCTTTTTCAACTCAACAAAACAGTTAACAGGTGTTTGCTAATTCATTTCTCAGGGCAATGCCTTGATTAATGAGAGTTGACCTATCTGGTTTAATTTTTCTAAAACATCTTGGCAATTAATTGTCAATTGTTAGCACCTGTTATATTCTCCTTGGCAATGCCTCTACCAATCAGAGTCCACTTGCTAACTGATTAGTGCTCTCCTTTCATGCAGTATAAATGGTGATTTACCTATTAAATTGGTTCTCTTGTAAATTGTCCTGAGAGTGCAAGATGAAATGTTTCAACGAAATGTCCTTGTTTAACAACTTGACATTTTTCCAAATAATTCATTGATGATAATAAGAGGATTTTTATTCAAAAGTGGAGTCTGCGTTCCCAACACAAACCAATGTTCAAGATGGCAGCCTAGAGCCATCTACATGTATATGGTTTTATGTGCCTGAATAAACAATTTTTGTGATAATGACTTCTGTGATGCATACTTTGGCATTTGTGCAATGTTGTGTTGCTGCACAATTTGTGTAAACTAATTTGAGAACTTTTGTTCCTTATCCAAATACTTGTGGGATGTGCACATCGCTGTTGGGCCAACATTTACTGCCCATTCGTAACTAATCTGTTTACGAGAGGTGGGGGTGGAAATTTATTACAAATAAGACATTGAAACTCTTTGGAATATTTAGAAATCTGTATTAATCTCTAAATTACCTTGCGCAAACTGATTTTGGTTGATGATGTAGCTATAGATGGTTGAGCTTAGGTCACTAATCTGAAGTACTCCAGCAGTATCCTGGAGGAGATTGGCTTCCAAAATCTTTTGTGCAAGGTATGACTTCAAACAATTGATACCATTGACTTCAATTTTGCTAGGACTTTTGATGCCATCTTAGCTCATGGGTAATGCTGTAATGACTTGTGAAGCGGAGTGCTCTTGAGGCAATCTAAACTGTGTATCAATGAGTGGTTGTTATTGAATAAGTGTCACTTGATAACACTGTTAGTGGTGCCTATTTCACTTTACATCTGATTGAACATAGGCTGATGACATGATACTTGGCTGGATTAGAATTGTCCTGCTGTTTTTGGACAGGACAGATCTGGGAAATTTTCTACATTGATGGATAGATACCAGTTTTATAACTGGAATTGTTTGGTTAATGGTGCTGCTAGTTTTCGAGCACAGGAGCTTAGTATTACAGCTGGGATATAGTCAGGGACTAAAGCCTTTGCCCTGTCTGATGCCTTGATCCATTTCTTTCACATGGTGTGAATCTATGATGCTGGGCATCTTGAGGAGACTGAGGTGGATTATCCACTTGGCACTTAGCTGAATGAATACGGTTACAAATGCTTTAGCTTCATCCTTTGTATTGATGTAATGGATGCTGCCATCATTAAGGACTGAGATATTTGTGAAGTCTTCGCCTCTGGTTTGTTGTTTAATTATTCACCACCATTCACAACTGAACATGGCAGACCTGCAGAGTTTAAATCTGATCTGACATGGGATCAGTTAGCTCTGTCAGTCATATGTTGTTTCTGTTTTTCAGCATACAGAGCCACCCTCTCCCAACTGTAAACTACAACATTGCCACCTCTGGTGGTTCTGTCTTGCAGCTGGGACAGAATGTACACAACCGTGGTGATATATACATCTTGGGTACTGATTTTAAGGCATAATTAAGGATATGTATGACAGTCAGCTGTTGCTTGAAAAGCCTGTAACCCGGCTGTCTCAATTTTGGGAACGTATGTTAATAGGAATGCCTTTGTAGAATTGACTGAGCAGAGTATATCTTTGTCACTTCCGGCACCTAGGTCAATGCTAGATGGTCTGTCCCTTTTATTTCACAACTAACAGTTTGATACATTGGAATTGCTTGCCTGGTCATTTTGTAGAGCAGTTAAACTGTCTCTGTGGACACGGGCCCACTTTTATGCCAGACCAGGTAAAATTTTCTTTTGTAAAGGACGTAAGTGAACTAATTGGATTTTTTTGTGGGAGTCCAGTAATTCCATGATAATTACATTTTTGCAGAATTATCAATTAAATTAAAATTTCCTCAACTGCCATAATGGGAATTGAATTTGTTTCCCGGGAGTATTACTGTGCACCTGACGATTACTTACCCAGTAGCGTTGCCACCATGCTACTGTCCTGTATTTAATGTTGGAGGAAGGAAGATGGTTGCTTCAAATCCCTATGGACAAAGATTGTTTTATTTGGTGCCGAGTTTTATGTACAAGGCAGTGATTCTGCTTTCCTTCGTCAGAATTGATGTATGTGCCACTTACACTTTGCCATCTTTCTCAATTTATCCACTGTCTGTCTGCTAATTATTTCCTTGTTTAATATCTACGCTTGGGAGGGTACAATTTCCCGGGGCCAAACATTGGGAAAAGCAAAGCTTTCCTCTTTGGCTCCACTAGAAACACTCTACCTTTGTCACCAATTCCCCTACACTGGAGGCAATACATCAGCAAGTTATCACTCATGCTACCATTGGCAGATTGCTTTTCATGCTGTTGAATTCATTGGCTGTAATTTGAGATGGTTGAAATGTTCCAGTTAAAATAGCATCCATGAAGATAATGGTGCAACCAAACCGTTTTGGTTAAATGTTTTACTTTTCAATAGCTCAGTTTTCAAAACTTGCACTTTCAAAGCATTTATTTAATTGAGGTAGAGAAACCAGTTTTGCAACCTTTAGAAATATGTACTGAAAATATTTGACATCAAGGTCCTGACCTGAAATTTGCTGCATAATTGATATAGTGTTCCAGTCCCGAAAGTGATTCTAGCAAACACCAGTGTAAATGTTGTGCTTTTCTGTTTGATCAAAGCTGTCAATCAGTAAAGCACAGAGTTGCTTCTAATGTTAGGAAATTAGTATGCCCAAATTAAATTTGCTTTGCTTTAAAACAATGTATCATGACCACATATTTATGGGGAGGTGATGGCCTAGTGGTGTTATTGCTGGACTGTTAATCCAGAGACCCAGATAATGTCCTGGGGACCTGAGTTCGAACCCCATTGTGGAATTTGAATTCAATAAATATCTGGAATTAACAGTCTAATGAAGACCGTGAATCCATTGCCAATTGTCAGAAAAACCCATCTGGTTCACTGTTGTCCTTTTAGGGAAGGAAACTGCCATCCTTACCTGGTCTGGCCTACGTGTGACTCCAGACCCACAGCAATGTGGTTGACACTGAACTGCCCCCTGGACAATTACGGATAGGCAATAAGTGCTACCTAGCCAGCGACACACTCATCCAATGAATAAAGGGCAATATTGCATTTTTAGACCCTATTTGTTAACATTTAATTATTTGTTTTATTCCACGATAATTATTTAATGTTGTGAATTTAAAAGTAGCCTCATAGGCATGCTGTTTTGTCTGTTGATTGGAACATTTGTAATGATTACATGTTTCCAGGAACACACTGCTCTTTTAACTTTGGATTCTGTGATCTGCAAGAAATCGTCCTTGTTATGCAGTTCATGCCTCCATATTCACAGAATTTGTTATTGTAGCAATTTATTTGAACAGGTTTACCTGTCCTTGCTGAGTGACATGCAAATATAAAATAAAGTATCGTGTGTGTGTGCGTGTGTGTCGGTTGATCACTTTGCAGGGATATGGTTTCAAAATTTATATTGTATCAAAACTTAGGTAATTTTTAAAAAATTCCCACTGTCAGTGATTCAGGATTGCTTGACAATTTTGCCACAAAGTGTTTGAGGAGCAACATTTTTAATGGATTCTTAAAAGCATTGCAGATTCACAAGGCCACTTAGACAAATAGTAGTTAAAATTTTAAAAACGAAGTCGCTGTAGTCCCAGAGGACTATAGGGCTGCTTGCTCCTTAGATATAGTTAGTGGTAGTTGAACCTGTGGGTGACCATGCTGTAAGTGAGGTTGAGAAGGCAGGACCTTCGTGGTAACCTTAGCTGGTGTGGGAATTTAATCTGAACTGTTCAACCTAAGTTGTTTGTACCCAGAAATTAGTCAACTGATTTAAGTT